GTGTGTGTGTGTGTGTGTGTGTGTGTGTGTGTTTGTGGTGGTGGGGGGGGGAACGCAAAATCATCATTCTGAGCTTTATATCATGTTATGTCATTCCCTCATCCAAAACATCCAGTGTTCCTTTGGCTCATTCAGGCATGTTTGAGAAATCCATGAATCTTTGGTGTTCGTCATGTAGAGGTGCCTAAACACTTGCTGGTACAAAGTGCCACCTTTTTGTATATAACTCCTCCCTGGAGCTCAGTCAGCCCAACTCCCGCCCTACAGAACACCCCCTCCCTCATAGCATTATTTGAAAATGTGCGGTGTGAGTGTTAGAAATGGTAGGAGGTTCTTAAAGAGAGGCCAATTTCAAAGCGTTTAGATCAGTCTATGATGTAAAGTCAAATTTATTTTTGACATATACAGCATTTTCAGAACAACTGAAGGTAACATAGTTACTTGAGTGTGGTATAGAATTGAACTATTTGCCTGGAAAATACATAATTCTGCCCCTTGATGGTAGTGTTTTATTGGACTGCAACTAGTGGAGTTGGAGACGAACAACTGCAAGAAAATAAATCTTCACAAGGACAAGATGTCAAGACATAAATTCCATGAGAAATATGGAGCAGAAATCACAGAATGTTTCCATACAAACAAAGCAACACTGCTCAAGAATTATGAAAACTAAGTTAATATGATTTTGAGATGGGTTTTATACTCCTGCAACGGCTGTAACTATTTTAAAAGAACATTTGTCGAAGGATTTTTAAAAATGTTAAAAAGATTCCTGTGATACAGGACAAAGGCTCTGCAACTCCTACGAGGAAATCGAGAACATTTCAAAACACATTAGAAACTTCCTCGAAAACGTTTGTAAATTGTCGTCCGTTGCAACCCAGTAAAATGTTAGCTTTATGGAAAAAATATATCCATTTCTTATGCTTTTTTCTTTGTAATTCCATGTGAAACATGGGACCACATGGGATCAGAACATCATTTTGGGACTGTTTAAAAAAATCACACAGAAAACATCTAACAAACGTGTTTAGCGTGGTATTTTAATATTTTTCATGTGATGTTTGTGTTTTTGTTCCAATTCCACAAGGAAAATGTGCAAAACATATATCTCACATGAAAATGTCACTTTTTTTCACATCCTAAGTTCACATCCTGTTTGTTCCAAAACCACATAGGAAACATGCAAAACACGCATTTCACATACGTGACATTAAATGTAAATATTTTCACATGTGAAAACGTGATTGTCTAAGTCCATGTTCCTTTTTGGGACTGATTTTGTGAATGTTGGCTACACCCTTACCAGAGGGTGGCACTTGAACTTCACATGTGAAAACTTGTTCAATTAACTTGTGACATGTGCAAAGCAGGTTTCACATATATTAATTTCATGTCATTTTCACATATGAAGCAGTATTTTTGACATTTGTAAAAGCAATTTTCACCCTTACAGTAAAACCTTACAAACTTCACATGTAAAACAACTTAAATAAACATGTGACATGAGTAAAACATGTCACATGACTCATTAATTTCACATTTTCACATGATTTTTTTCTCATACTTTTTGTTCCGAATCCATATAGAAAACATGCAAAATATACAGTTCACATGGTCACATTTAAATTAACATGTTTTCACATGTGACTTGCACATATGTTCATGTGTTTGTTCAGCATTATATGGGAAAACTCTGTTTAACTTTACAAAAGAATCACATGAACGTCTCATGCAAAAGTTGCACATTTTCACATTTAAAATAATTGTATGTTTAAATTTGACCCATGTGCAAATGTGTTTTACGTTTTTTGTTTTCATGTGTGTGAAAACATGTTTTTCACATAAGATGTTAATGTGCTCTTTGTTGTAAATTCACATGGAAAACGTGCAAAACATACATTTGGCATGATCTGACAAATGTAAAACATGTTTGCACATTATTCACATGGATAAGGTCAAACAAAAGCTCATAAACTTCACATGTGGACCATCATGTTTTTGCATGTCAAGACGTGACAGAATAATACATGAAGCATGATTCATATGTGGTTTTGGAACGATCATATAATCACATGTGACACGATGGTTTTCCACATGGGCTCACACATGAAAACAGTACATTCATGTTTTTTTCTGTAAGAGCAGATTTTTTTATGAAGTCCTCTCTCTGGACTGGGATAAAAGCCCAAAAGTATCAAGTGGATAACGCTATACTTACACTTCTGCTGTAATCCCTATAAACACACATGCAGCTAATAATTTGTGCGCACAGCAATTTACTAAGGAATAAACAAGCAACAAAGAGCCTGAAATCAATAGTTGCAGGATTGCAATGACACAAAGCTGCAGACACCATCCCTGTGCAAACACACTCTTAGAAGTGGCCATGGCTTTAAAGCAACAGGTGAGCTCCTCGGCACCTCCCCTGTCTTCCCCCAGTGCGCTCGTCTAAATATAGAAATTATGCTCTCTGATAATTGGGGGCCGACAACAAAGCCAGCAATATTTCCACCCCCCCAGCTGGCAAACAGCAGGGCTGAGATCAGAGCATGAGGGAACACCTGCGTTGGCTGACTGGACTGTGAAGAGAGACGAGGAAGATCACTGACGTCCACACCTGCCTGTGGATCCCTGCCACTTACATCCATATTTACACACACACACACTTGAACTGGTTTCCTCAAGAGGCTTCTAAGGCCCCGCTGCTGAGGTGGTGTTGAAAGTAAGGGGAGCGCCCGTTTAACTGTGCGAGCCGGCCCTCTGGAACGAGTGAGGACGAGGGGGTTTGAGAGTTTTCAGCGAGAAGCTGCCGGACCACCTGTGGGAGGATGAACAAAAGCATCCTGTAGACTTCAAAAACCCCAGTTTAACAGGTGCCTAAGAGCAGCACTGCTGGGCATCAGGTATCACACGTCAGGGTCTCCAGTTTGATCAGAAAGATGACCTTAGACGTGTCAAAGGGGGCAGAGATTTGCACAAGCTCTGTTCTTCATTGCTATAAATGGGAGAAGCTCAGCAAGAGCGAATAATAATAAAAATAAAAAATCTGCATTTATTGCAACACAATAGATGCAATTTCTATTTTTGTTTAAAAAGCTTTAAGAACACAAGCAGTGGCAACAACAGTTCCATGATGGGAGAAGAAAAAAAGGAGGCCTGTTTACTTGATGGATAGGGGATGTCCAAGTGTGTGCAGGTTATAATAGAGTCTGGGATGCTGTTATTAATCCACAGCAGCAGCATGTCAAGGTGTGCAGGTGGGAAAGTCCCCCAGCGAGGAGAGAGTTGGCAGCAGGGCTGTCAGAATCAGATCACACACCGAGCTTTCATGCTTCAACACAGATCTGCTGCGAGCCGTGAAGGAAACCGTGCAGGAGACACGAGAACATGGCGAGAACAAACTTTAGCCCTTCCCATCGCTATAAAACAGTTTCTTTATCCTTTTTTTATTCTTTTAAGAAAAATACGGGGACTTTTAAAAGAAAAGGGCAAACACTGTTAGTTAACCATGTTTTAGCTGCCTGAACGCTTTAATGGGATGAGTCAACAAACTGCCCTTTAATTGTCTGCATGGGTTACCTAATCCTTATCGCTCCGGCCTCCAACTTTTATTCATCGGCTGAGGTTGCAGTTGCCTCAGCTAAAGGTCAGATTTTATTTGGCCCTGATCACATCGTCGTTGGTTTGCAGTTTTTCTGCAGTGGGGTGGGGGGAGGCTTTGAAGTTTTATTTGCACAACAAGTCTACAAGTCGTCCCTCGGCGTAATGGCATCCATGAAAATAAGACAACTCCGATCTCGTAAGGAGAGTTTATATGTTTAAACTCTGAAAGGCAAAGTCAACCACTAAAATACAGCTTTTTTATGTAAAAGGTCTGTTAAAAAGTTAAAGGTTAGCTTTTTTTTCTTTTTGGATGAGAAGAGACACTTGAAAACAAAATCCCCATCCCTTGACCTCTGACACCTTGAGCTGACCAAAAAAAATAATAAAAAGTAATTTTTTAATAGTTTGTTTACTTCAAATTGGTTTATAAGACATTTTACCAGCAGTTTGGCCACAGTTATTGAATTTAAAAAGACAAAAACAAATAAAAATGAATCACAGTTGCCATATTGTGATAAAATACATGTTAGATTCAGAGATTTTTTTTAATAAAAGTGTATATTTTAGGTCAGGTTACACTGTTTTAACGGGTAATCTGATTCTTCTGAAAAGAGCATAAAATACAGCAACTCAGTGTTTATATAGTTGATACTGCATGATTCTATGTGTAAAAATATAACCTCAAATAAATAAATATATACCATAAATATGTTGATCTAAAAATGAATAAATAAAACTGTTACATGCTTTCTTTTCCAAAGCTCTCCACACAAGTAAAACCAACGACCCTGAATTCCTTCAGGTCTTGTTAAACTCTCAAGACATCCAAGTCAAATCTTTTGATTCCATCCAGTTGGACGCCAGCTGATGTCTCTGTCCTGCAGACAACAGAGGAGACCAATCAGCTTGGTTTCCCCCCCGCCCCATTTGTCTCCAGGTACGTTTGTGGGTCGCCCGATCTTCTGAAACAAACGAGCCCCTCATGCCGAGACATTCTAGCCTCGTCTTCGTGACTGCTGAGAGATGGCTCCGTGCATTCCTCCAAAGAGGCCCCTGCCGGTGCCTTTATCCCCCCGCTGGTGGGGCTGCTGTCCCACCATCCTGCACTGGCCTCGTCCCGGCTTCCTCTCTGGGTCTGCTCCCCTGCATGTTGGGGCGTTTTGTTTTTTGTTTTTTCTCTCTCTTTCTTTGAAACAAAGCAGCTGCTCCTGATTCCTGGGCCACCGAGCTGCTGCACCTCAGCTGTGCCCCAGGATGTCCCTGTACAGCTCAGGCACCCGCTCTGGGTCCACAGGCCTGGGCAAGAAGTGCGTAAATTTCTGGTGCCTCCTGGACTTAGTCCCATCCCTCGGTGTTCCATCCTTATTTAATGCCACAAAATAACGTGCCCCTTTGTCTCCGTGTTTGTAGAGGTTGGACGAGTAGGTATTGTACCAGTTCTCCTCAAAGTGTTCCCTGAAGACACATTCTGCTGACAGCGTTTTCTGAGGGGAAAAAAAAAACAGAAAGGACCTCTGAGGAAACAGGTGGTGTGGAAGAAAAAATAAGGGACACAGAAAACCCAGCTTAATGACGTTTTATTACTTATTGCAAAAAGTAAATCTCAAGCAGACTCTGCAGAGTTTAACCGCTTTTTAAATCAATTTCTGGCAGATAAGGTTCATTTAATTTAAGAAAATATAACAACAATTGCTCAAACTAAATAAAAGGTATATTTAAGAACACTTAGGGAAAACGTGCATGCTGAAGAAGAATATATAAAAAGTATTCTTGTTAAAAAACAAACCAAATTGTGGGCCTCAGTAAGCTGTTGCATGTCCAGTTTCCTGTTTGGTAATTATTAGTTATTGTATTAGTTATCAGTTGTGTGCACAGGCATGGCCGATTTTTGAAAAAGTCTATGTCCAGATGAGACTTTGTCAAACAGCAGAATGCATTTAAACAGAACTTATTAGAATGTAAGATAAGCAGCCTGGTCTAGATGCAAACTGTTACACCCGACGAGGACGCATCAGATTTATTACTGAATCTATTTTAAATTTCCACAAAATAGGAGGTTAAATTTAAGTTTAGGCCATATTCGTGGTACTTACAGAGCCATACAACTCTCCTTTGTCGTTCATCCCCAGGTAGAGCCCACTGTCCACTCCTTTAATGCTGATCAAGCCAACAGCAAGGCTGATAAACTCCAGAATACCTGCAGCGGAAGATCAGAAAAGCTCCACATTTAAACACTTTAGAATCAGACCTGTCAGTCCGGATGATGTCTTAGTTTATTTCATGCTCCTTCTTACCAAAACGACTGTGGTCCTTCCTCGTGCCCTGCACCGTGCCATCCGGAAGTATTTCCAGATGAAAGCCAGTCCTGCAGTACAGCTGCCTCCTCCTGAGGATCCCCTTCAGGTGCGGCAGATCCGGCACCTCGTACCTGGGGAAAGGTAGGAGGTGCTCCCCGCGCGGTGTCGGCCCGTCCCCAGGTGGCGTCAGGAAGAAATGGGCCCCGACGTGAACGACGCCGTCGATGCCGTGCAGGACGCCTCCAACTTCCCCGAGAGTCGCGAGAGGAGCGGCGGCCATCGCGTCGGAGCTCAGCGGGGGCAAAGTTTGGGTGAAGGAGGTCCGGAGGGAGCGGCGACTACAGCAGCATGTTTACGTCCCCGGTTCTCCCGTTACGTGGTGCGCGCGCGCGCGTGTCCAGACCGCGCAAATAATAATCAAAAAGAAGAGACACCCCTCAGCTGCAGCTGGGTACGCAGGTGTCGAGTGTCCCCTCTGACTTTACCACCTATAGGCTAGGCAGCAGCATACCTGTCCTGAGTGGAGGCGGTTCTGCGGTGTTTGTGTGACTGATAGACGCTGCAGTGCAGGTGAAGAGTGGCAGAGGTGGTGTGGCAGGTGCAGACCCACAGGACCAGGAATGGGCGGGGCAGTCCCAGTCCAGACGTGCCCTGGCAGGGAGGGTTTTTTTTTTCTTCTCCTGAGGCGAAGAAAAAAAAAGAAACAGGAGTTGACGGCGGTGCTTCAAAGGATAATTAAAATACAAAGCAAACAGCCCTTTAAGTCAACTGGAAACGCGACTTAAATGAATTAGACTGATTTGAATACTTTAACTCTCGTGGCAGACTTGAAACGTGTACCCACGGTGTTTCTCGCGAGCTCGGAGGCGCTCTGAGTCGCGCGCCGCGGTTCATCCGGCAGCAGGCAGACAGTCATGGCGGCGCTGCGCAGGTTCGTCTCCTCGCTCCTCACGCCGGCAGGGCCACGGAGAGCCTCCTCCGGGGAGCTGAGGGTGGTCGCAGCGGGAGTGTGTGTCGCCGGTGTCGCTTACTATTATTGTTACCACAGGCACTCGGTCGGGGTTCGGCGGCTCGGACTGAGGAGCCGCGTCGAGGCTCGGCTCGTTCATCATCATCTGCTTCCGTCGGTCTCCGCCGCCGACAAGGTACCAGTAATGAGCAGCGGGGCTTGGGAGACAGCATTCAGCTCACAGACGGGATGAAACACATTCAGAAGACTTTGATTAATATAGTTTCACGCGTATCAAGTGACAAAGTAGTTTATAGTTTAATTGGGAGCTATCCGGACCTTTGGTGCTGAACAGGCAAAATGGTCAAAGGCGTCTCAGGTCACGTGACCAAACGAAGCCCTGTTTGTTGTTGCTGCATATTTTGGCCTGACCTGTGTCAATAAAACATACGTAGTTAAATAAAGGCAGGTTTAATCTCTGTGAGATGTTAAGTTGATCAGAAGTAGTTGCATGATAGCTACTCTTTTCAGTTTGTTCTCAGAAGACACTGAGAACCTGTTCCTTTTTCTCACAGAGGTAGAACTTTGTTGTGCCCTTAGCAAAAAGTAGTATACTTGAACTTCAAATTGAAGTTCATTTTAATAAGTATACTTGAGTATAGGTTTAAGTACTGTATATCAGGTGCACTAGACACCATGTACTTTTAGTGTAATACAAAATATACTGATTTAATACTTGTTCATACTAAAATTGAGACATTTAAAAACGTTTAGAAAAAGTATAATTTAAGCATGCTGTTCTAATTTCTTTTTAAGTTTTTAAACATACCAAAAATATACTAAAGTGTTTTTCCCTAAGTGTACTTTTATTTGCCATGTACTGTACTAGTACCATACCATTATATATAGTGTACTTATTCCATGTATAAGTATACTGGCAGTGTACTAACAAATATAATTCTAGGACTAAATCAACCCACAATACGTTTATGAAAGCATACTCAGAAGTATACAGAAAGTAATCAAAGTACATTTTTAGTTAAATCTTGAAATATACAAATATAAACAAATAAACCAGTCTGTGTGAAAATGTACTTTCAGTGATCTTGGCCAAAAGTTCAAACATTTGTATAGACTAAATATACTTAAACTTTTAAAATACTTTTGGTACAAAAAAAGTAAAGTGTAAGATAAACTTAGTTAAGTATATCTCAGATAACTATATTAAAAGTTAACTTGACATATACTCTTTGATTTTATTTTTTAAATAATTTAGAATTAGTATTTTTAAAGGATACTTGCATATACTACTTTTTGCTAAGGGTGGCCAAGTTTTCTGCTGAAAAGTGGGTGAACTATAATGGTGTCATCTCATTTCAACTGGCCGAGACTGTCAGAAAGTACAGACTTCTCATCTTTAGCTGTTCCAGCAAAACTTATATAGATAGTCAAAGAACTTGTGGAAGGAAATAGTACAGTTTTTGTGCACAGAGGAGACAGTGTGGAGATACAGGCGGCTGTTTGTTGAGAGGTACACCTCAGTCGGGCAGTGGAGGGACACGTTCTTTGTGTTCCCTCTTTAAAGTGCGCTGTTAGAAAAGTTAGAAATGATGGCAGTTTCTTAGTGACTAATTTTGGCAGTGCCAAATTGAGTGTTACTGTCTCAGTCTGTATAATAGAAATATTTGATCCCAGTAAGGAATTCTTTTGTGATGGAATAGTGGAGATGGGGTGGGATTCTCAGATGTGCAGTTTCTTGTTGTGTATTAAATGTCTGTGCCAAAAAGAACGTCTCACAACTACATCAGTGAGACCTGACTTCTTTAGTTGGAGTATGGAGAAACCTTAATCTGTTTTTGTCAAACATTGAAATAGCAGCATGTGTGTTAACGCAAGATGTGACATCCAAGTCAAATTTGGCACAAAAAGTAAGGAAATTTGTGTTTGGCAGATTATGTTTTTGTTGTAACAATGCTTTCTTGGCAATAAATCTTACATCATTGGGAAGCCTGCTAATTTCCCTTTTAAATGACGCCACAGTTGTAAGGAACATGCATTTGGATGATAAGCAGTAGAGCTGAGTATGTGGGTTGTGTACATGATAAATTTGCCAAATCTCTACCAAAAAGGTTATTATGACCCCACACGCGAAGTGTAAGCGGGAGTCATATTGTTTTCGTACTGTTTATTTATTTATTTATTTATTTATTCATTTATTTATTTATTTATTTATTTATTTATTTTTCTCAGTGATTTTTGGTCAACCGTAGCACAAAAACGGCTGCACCGATCAACATGAAATTTGGCAGGGCTGTAGAAGAGACTGACCTACGCTGCAACAGCCAACGGTTTTACGATAGACCCCATATTTGAGGAGGGGGCTCCTTTCAAAGTGGGGGTGTCTGGACATGCAAAAGTCGCTTATAACTCAGAAAGTGTTCAACATAGAAACTTCAGATTTCTTTTGTTGTTTAGCTCTGATGAAGCTCTATCCATCAGGCCCAACAATCAGTGCCCCCAACCCCCTGGACCCATCTGAAAAAGGGGTATTTGGACATACAAAAATGGTTATAGCTCAAAAACTATTAAACATGAGAGCTTCAGATTTCATTGGTTGTATAGCTCTGATGAGGCTATCCATCAGGTCGACCCCCCACCCACCCATAAAAAAGACCCCCACCCAAACCACTACAATTTTGGGATGCACCATGACATTTATTAGGAATTAAGACTTCTGAGTTCTGGTGCATTTCTGCGTGCGGGGGTCATTGTGTTACCGCTATGCGGTATCTAGTTTTGCTGTTGTTATTGATGCTTGTTTTGAGCTTCTGATACCCCCGGGTGCTGTCAGTTAGCTGCCCGCTGTAAGACTTACTGCCAAGATAAAATTGTTACAACAAAGAAATAATCTTCCAAACACAAATTTCCTCAGTTTTTGTGGTAAGTATATATAACAGCCACAGTCCCAATAGTCAGGCTTCAACCAGGATAAAAACAGTAACTAAGTCAATATATGTATAACTAATACGTTTAGTTGTTTTTTTTTTTCTCCCCACAGTTTCGGGTGGTAAAAACAGGTGCAGTGGTTATACATTATGTCAGTATGATTTCAGGAAATGATTGTTAGCTAATTGATTGTCAAAATTAGTCAGATGTTCATGTAATAACTTTCTGAAGATTATTCAAGTGTGTTCAATGGTACAAGAGACACTTTACTAAAGAACACAAACCGGTGATTACATCGTTGCCTTCCACCATGAAGGACAGGTGATAATACGTCAGCCAAGATGATCAATATCTGTTGTGAATTTTTATTAAACCCTGACAAAGTAATGACTGGGTTCACATCTTTTACTCATTGACCTCAACAAATCCCAAAATGTCTCCAAGTCAGTTTGACGGATATGAATATTTATTGAGGTAAACTTTGGAGTGGAAGTAGCTGACAGTCATACTCGAAGTGCTAACAGATCACACAGTTGAACATAATGTTATTATACAGGTTTGACCAAAACAGAGCTAACTCATCATCAACTCAGTTTAAGGTGGCAGGGCATTCCTCCAGGTGCAGCTGCACATTTCATTAGATTTTGTTTTTGGCCTTTGGTTGTAAAAACTAAGCTTCTCAGGCAAAACTTCACCCTAACATAGAATAAATAATATTTGATGTTACTGGAAAGCTTTGTGACTTTGTTTTTCAAGCAGTTTTACCTCAAGAACATTTAGCAAAACAGCAACAAACAGTTCATAAGATTAAATTTTTTGTCTAATCATTTATAAATTTTGTGATCAAAAAACGTTTGAATTTGTCCACATAATCAGTCAAAATGAAACCATCAAAAAATACTCTGTTATTGAAATTTGTTCTGTTTGTTTTTATTTTTCTGTGATATAAACTCAGATGTAAATCCTGTCTGGTGTTCATGCTGAACTCCCTGCTGAAAATGAGGCTCTCATTTGACATCTGTCATAAACCTTGACTCGTGTCTTCATGCTGAAGCTATCTAGGGACACAAGAAATTGGACACTTTGACTTTGCAGAGAAGCTGATATTTGAAGAGAGATGGGGGTAGTTAGAGGGGGCAGAAGGGTGGGGGGAAGGAGAACCACACATTCCCTGGGTTTTTGTGCCCAGTGAACCTGGCATCGTGCCACCTTATGGAGAGATCTGCTCTGTCTTCACCAGGCCAGCCTTTTGATCTGGGCAGTTGTAGGGACATTATCTGCTGCGCACAGATGAAAACAAGGGCCCATTACAGAATTAAAGCCTGAGCACTCTGCTGCGCACGAGGTTTTCCGTGACAAGAAAAGCTCGACACAAAGCATCTTTCAGGCAGGGTTTTCATCGTTATAGTGTGGTGTTTCAGCTCGTTTCCATGTCTGCTTACAGGCAAAGAGCTACGATCTGGATGATCGAGATGTTTACATGTCATCCTACGAGAACAGATTCAGGCTCTTCAGTTCATTGGAGCACGACGGCCAACTCTATATGACGCCTCTGAACTTCATTGAGTCTGTCACTCTGAACGAACCAAGAAGTGAGTATCACACTCAGCAGATGCACACATTATATCGTCCTCAATGATTTCATTATCAAACAATGACAACAATTAAAGATTCACATTAGTACGTATCAAAGCTGCTAAAATATTTAAATCTTTGTTTATTTGTGGGATTTAGATTGACACAAATAACAGAACTTTATAGTAAAATTTGGAAACATTAAGTAATTTGTGAATTAAACAATCAATGAATCCTTTATACCAGATATTCCCAGAGTGGGGTCCGTGGGACAAATTTGGCCCATCAAGCCATTTGATTTGGCCCGCCACTTTCGCTCATTGTGCATCATTAATTTTAGATTAAACATGAAATACGACTAACTACAAGAGACATTTAGATTAGATTTAAGCACATTTGTAGACCAAAAATACTTATATTTGATCAATTTACGAAGTGTCCCATGATCCTTTGCTGTCTTATTGTATGAGCAAAAAAAAAAAAAAAAAACATGAGTCCCCGCACTAACTGCTAGCTCACTAAAAAAGGACTTTACTGAAGCAGTATTTGTATTTCATGTATTAAATTGCTGCATTTGGCCACAGCCCTCAGATAGATTTTTATTTCGGCTCTCTTGAGGAAAACGTTTGTGCACCCCTACTTTAAACATTCAGTGTAATAAACTGACAATAGAAATGATCAATGGTTACATTTTAACTGATGTAATGCTACCTTCTTTGCAAGCAAATGTGACCCAAATCCATTTTTTCTGACTAAATGTGACCCATATCAGAATATTTTTTTAATGAAGGTCTGATTGTTAAAAAACTACATTTATTCTATCCATACCCAGGTCTTTTTCATATGTGGCACTAAATTGGATGTAAATTCAAGTGACTGCACTGTGGACGGTCCATGTTGCATTTCATCTGACTTTTACATCACTGAAGTAGGGGTATTAAATGCATAAATCGAGACGTTGATATTATTGATCCTGGAGTTAAAGCTTAGTACTCCATAGCACCGATCATAAGTTCAGTTGCTTCATCTTTTTAAACCGTTCCAGATTCGTCATGTCTTTGATGACTGAGAATTTGCCCCAACACATGATGCTAACAGTGGTGCACCAGCATGTTTAATCAAATCAATAACAGCATGATGAATCAGTACTCAGTTTGTTTCTACTTTCAGCCCACTGCTCCCGTTCAGTTTGTGTCTGCATCGGAGCAGGCGAGAAGCTGCAAGTGAAACAAAGCAGAGAATAATTTACTGCTGTTGTCCCTAATCGCACAGCAACTTCACACTCGATCCACACTTGCAAACATGTGTAGTCTACATATTTTGTTCTGTAAACACAGTGTGCTGGGCCTGGTTGCATTTAAATTATAAGCTGCAGTGTAAACGTGACCTAATGTTGCTCCGGATTAAATTGTTCCATAAACTGAGATTGTTTTGGACTGCAGGGTACCACTTCACAACCCTTTTTTGTTAGTTTTTCTACATTATTCAATTTTTGGCTCCCGTTTCACAGTTGGTTCTTTTGCAGCTTAAGAGGATCTGACATGAGGGGATGTGATTGGTTCACACAGAATTAAACGTTCATGGCTGAGCAAAGGAAGCTGTCCTCAAGCACCAGCATTGTTAAAACAGTGATAAATCACACACACACACACACACACACACACACACACACACACACACACACACACACACACACA